TCCCATTTTATTTCACATCTTCCTTTTTTTTCCTGCAGCCACGGGTACAAAAGACCGTTGGTGCAAATAAAGCCTGCTGGGGGCAGCTTTCTTCTATTATTGGGCCCCTTGTACGGTTTGTACGGTTGACGAAGTCTCATATTGGTTTTCGATACGGAAAGAGGGCACTTTTTATGTGCTCTGTTTTCTATAATTCAAAGACGCCTCGACGGATTAAGATATAAAAGGCAAATAATTACGTCGATTTTTTTTCTTCTTTTTCAATAGTGTGTCTCTTTTTGCATTGCCTTATCATTTAAATTGAGAAATCAATATTCATTGACAAAGTATTATTACTTTTGTTTATTTTATTTTAATAAATTTTACTAAATATTTCTTTACCTTATTATGATATAGTTTGATATTCATTGATAAAGTATTCTATAACTATTTCATTTTAGTACATTTTACTAAATCTTTATTCACAGTATTATGATATAGTTTGATATTCATTTGCAAAGTATTATTCGATAATTATTTCCTTTTAGTAAATTTTACTAAATATTTCTTTACTTTATTAAGATATAGTTTGATATTCATCGACAAAATATTACTTCCATAATTATTTCATTTTATTAAATTTTACTAAATATTTCTTAGCAGTATTACGATGTAGTTTGATATTCATTGACAAAGTATTAATTTGTTCTATACTTTTATAACCGTCATTGAACAGCCGACCCAATTTTGGGTTTACGACTACTTTTTGCTCAACTCCGTAGCCTTGTAGTTTTGAATCCAATCCAGAAGACAAGGGAACTCCTGGATCGAGTATTGGGAGAAATTTGCCTCCATGGAGGACTTTTTGATGGAGCTAACCCGCATTCGCGCTACATGGAGAGGAAGACCACAAGAACCTCTCACGGTTAGCCTGACGGCAAGGGGACTGTAACCCATGATCCGTCTACCACTCAGGATATTTCACGTCAGCACTGTGGTCGATGCAAGCCGGATGCGGAATTCGTATCGACTGGGATTCGAACCCGGTTCGCCTCATTGGAAGGCGAACGCTCCATTCCCTGGGCCATCGAGGTTCAAAAAAGAGAAGTGTATTGTAAGGAAATTAGAACCTTCTATTGATCATCAACAAAGCGAAAAAATCTGTAACACAAGTTTTCCTTCGATGTTTCTTATTGCACCGCACAGAACTACAGGCAGCACGTGCTAAAAAGAGCTCATCGTTAGTGAGCTTTTAAATCTAAACCCAACTCAAAATGCCTGTTTACGAAAATGAGCACAAAATAGATGTTTTTAACAATATACGCAGCTTGTAATGCGTGTTCAGGAAAATGGATCCAGCACTAAGTGCATGTTTATTGAAATGGACGCAGCTCATGATGCGTGTTTACGAAAATAGAAAAAATTCGAAAGACGTGTTTAAGAAAACGGACATGAATATTTAAAAAAAAAATTGGACGAAGCATTTTATTCCATTTTTTTAAGCAACTTTTATATTTTTTCTAAAAATTATATTTCTTTCTTTATTTATTTGAAACACTTAAAAATGGCATGTTTGATAACATATGCAACTATTAACAAATTATTAGAAATTTAACAGCTTGTACATCAATTATTTAGTTTAACTTCGTTTCACGATTTATTTCTATTAATTTTTTCACCAAAATGGCGGAATGAATAATAATAATGATAATTTCAAAATTAGTTCGGATTGTTTCACTGTAAATAATTCCTCAGCTTCTACATCATTACTTTAGATTGAATTTGTAGTATTTATTCAGTTATTTTTTTTAACAGAATTTCGACATAATCAACTGAAAAATACTTTCAAGCTCGTTCCGAGTATTTCTATTAACGCTCAAAAGTGTAGTTTAACAGCTTGTTCACTATTGCTTGAGTTTAATTTCGTTGCTGTAAGTAATTTTAATAACTTTTTTCAACACAAAAGTAAAATAATAAATTAAAGCATCTCCAGTGTTAGAGTCAGCTCTCATTATCTAACGTCCTAGTTAAACAACCGAAACACAAAATTCAGTTTTTAAAAAATAAATAAAATATTACGAGAAACGAGGACTATAAGTATTGTTAATTATACTTAGACGAGTGTTAGTCGGTCTATTATATAATTTTGGTCTATTACATAAATTTTGGAGAGAGTCAAATATTGAAATAAAGACAAAAATAGTTGCTTAAAAAGCTATTGTTAGAGCAGTACTATTATATGGCGCAGAAACCTGGAAACAGACTAAGATCGAAATACAAAAATTAGAAACCTTTCAAAACAAATGTTTAAGATTTATTTTTAAAATTTTCTGGCCATACAAAGTATCAAATCAGAATCTATTAAAGAAAGCTAAAATAAAAACAATAGAAGATGAAATTAAAAAACGAAAATGGAGCTGGCTCGGGCATATCCTTAGAATGCCCAAAGAAAAAATTACATCTGTTGCGCTTACATGGGTCCCTGATGCTAAAAGAACAAGAGGAAGACCCAGAGTTACCATCCAGAGCATGTTTTGGGGCGAATTAAAAGAATGTGGAATATCTGACTGGGAGGAAGCAAGATCTATTGCTAGAGACAGGAGGCGTTGGAGGGATATGCCAGAGGCCTTAAGTACCCAAAGGCACGTAGAGGATAAGTAAGTAAGTAAGTAAGTGCTAGTCGGCTTATTATCTCTTTAATTAATTATTTTAAATTTACATAAAAGATATTTAAATTTCCTTTAAAAGGCTTTAGACTTTTGCAATCAGATCTATATAAAAAGTTACAATTTTACATGAACTTATTGTTATGAATTGCTTTTCGAAACAATTATTTTGGCGAGATTTCTTCTCAATTTTAACAAATTTTGAAGAACCTAGATAATGCTTTTAGTATTAAAAAGTTCGAATAACTTCTTAAATATTTCAAAATTAGATCGCGAATGCTTTTCGGTGACTTTTTTGTCTTTGATTGTGACTTATCACTTTTTGGCAATTTTCAAAATTTACATAGAGAATAATGGCTAAAGATAAGCTAAACTTGCCCTAACTGTTGAAAACTTACATAAATAACTGTTGCAAACTTACAGCAGTTACAAATTTACTGCACATAATTAGCAAAAGCGTTGTCTAATGTGACAACAGTGCCTTCGAAAACCCGTTCGTACTGCGATCAAATTTTTTATTAGCAGCAGATTAATCACTGAAACTGTCGGTGATAAAAAAAAATGATAAAAACTAGTATGTTTCGGAGATCAAAAAAAAGTTTAATGTAAGACGTATTTTTCTTGTACACTGTAAAAAATTCCGGATCAAATTACGGCATAAAGAACCAGCACGTTGGGTGCATCATCCGTAAAATCCGTTTTTACCGTAAAATATTATACCACAATTTTTACTATAATATTTACGAAATTAAAGTAATTCAGTAATTTTATTACTGTAAAAATTACTGTATATCAATTCCGAAGCATGTTCTGGTAAAAATGGATTTGACTGTCAAAAAAAGTACTGACACTGTGTTTGCTCGTATTTTTAACTATAATTTGATCTGAAATTTTTTACAGTGTAGTTGGTGTACGTTGTCTGAATAAACGAAACATAAGTAATTCAAAAAGTGTAAAATGTTTCCTTAAAAATATATTATTTTCATGAAAATAAGATTTATTTTTTACGTCTTCTTACAATCACATAAATATCAAGTAATTCATTTTTATTTAATATTTTTCTTAAAAATCATGTTTACTGACTTATATTACTTTCTTTATATTTTAAAAAAAAAAGTTTTTCAAAAAAATATTTACATATTGTTTTATACAGAACTAATTTTACAGAACAAGCAATATTTCATACTTAAAAAAAATATATTAATCGCACTACGTGCAACTATCTACTTCAATATCAAAAAGATTTGCTTATGACTTTAAAATGTCAATCATATCATGATCTTTCACAAGTTTGTTTACGAAAGGGGCTGTGTGTGTCACTCTAAGAGGAGAGGTTTCTTAAAATTAAGACTACTTGGAACAAGGGGTACCAAAATGTATGCCACAGCACACATATTGGTTAAAATTAAAACATTTAAAACTGGCAGATTAAATGTCTTTAATTAGTTATTTTTTTATTTTTTGAACTTTTTTTGTTTAAAATAAGTATACTACTGCCGTACAATTGAATTCCATGAACACTGAAAAAGAATATCAAAAAAACTGATAAAAAAAATTTTTTTTGAAGAAAAAATCGTAATATGTTGCCTGTTATGCAAAAATGTCAAATATATAAAAAATCTCCATTTTGAATTTTTTGTCGCTTACGTTGATTTTTTTTAATGCAGGGCAGAATTATCGTGATTAACCACATAGTTTTAAAGTTTGAAGAAATATTTGATGTATGATATGTAACTTTTTTTTTTCTTCTGAACTGTTAGTGTATGTTTATGTATACATATGAGAAGAAGTTAGGGGGGAGGGGGCTCAACATTGAAAGAAAAAAAACGTGATAGGATTTGTGGAAGGTCCTTCATTGCCGATACATCATATTTCATTTCATAAGAATCTGAGAAAATTATATCTCCTATTTTTATTTTTCGCACAGAATTATTCAGAAGATATCTTAATCATTTCCAAATCGTATCATTCTGAAAAAGAAACTCATAACAAGCAAAAAATACTCTCAAAACTTACTTTAAAAAACCTGATAAATAAGTAAACGAGAGAATAAAGAAAATAATTAAGTTCCAGGTAAACGCAAATATATTTTTCAGAGTTTCTAATATTTTCATGTAAAGAATTCTATGAACCCTTTTAAAACCATCGAATGAAAAACTGCAAAATAGCTGTAAGACCCAACAAAACTCTCTCTCAACAGGTGATTCGAGAGGGCGTGATCACGTGATATCTGCCACGTGACACTAAAGAGGCGGACTCTTCACTTGATAAGCACACTTCTCGTCCAATCAGCGTCTTGTTTGGAGGTCCTGGGCTTTACATTCATGTGGTCCGTGGTGCAGGGTGTATGTATTTGGCTCTTCCCACTTTATTCACAGAGTTGGCACAGCCCGTGTTAGCACATTACGGAAACATTCGGTCTCGCTGTGTATAATTCATGGACTGAAGGGAATGATTTGACAAGAACATTCGGTTAACCTTAATCGTTCTGGTTCGCCGGCAGTGGATTATTAGAAGTGGACTTTTATATTAGGCACGTGATTTATGATTTTGCTATATTAAACATTAAAATAATTTGAAATTTATTTAAATTTAACAAGTTAACTGGATTTGAAGAATTTAATATTAAATTTGCAACGTTGTGCAAAGAAACAAAAAAAGAATATTTTATCGTTAAGCCTAATACATTTACGAACTGAAAACGAAAAACTTTTTTCGATTGCCGTGTACAATGACTTATATGATTCTTTTTCAAACGATCTAGATCTTGTGAAATTGACGATTTAAATTTTTTTGCATCAATAAGCCAAACTTGCTGGGAAATTTTTATTCAAAGTAAGCATTGGTAAATCAAACTGAAATGAAAATGATCTCAAATTTAATCAGAGATCAAATAACATTGACTTAGAACTATTTATAAAATTGAAACGGTATTATGTATCCAAATTTACTGGCTCAAACATCGGTTTATTCACCTCTCCTACGTTGTCCAATGCCTGCAGGGGGTCTGATGTCCAGCCCGCTGTCCCCAGCATCCAGTCCTCCAGTTAGTAGCTCTTTTCTTGTGGACAATATACTCAGAGACAGAGCAGCTGTTGCTGCTGCTGTTGCTAGTGGTAGTCCTTTTCTTGCAAGACCTATTGCAGTGTCTGCATGTCCTGAACAGGTCGGAGGTTGTACGGCGTGTACCACGTGCTCGGGGTGCTCCCCCACGGGAGCAAACAAGACTGTAAGTGGTAGGTGTCAGAACGGTGGATCTCCGGGTGCGAGTCCGGGAACACCCTACCTCAAATTTGGTGTGAGCGCAATTCTAGCGGCTGAATCGAAGGAAAAACTGACGGCAAAAAATGTGATTTCTGTTTCTGGTAAGTACTTTTTGATGACTCATAGAAATTTTTCAAAAAAAAGTCTTGTTTAAAACAGTCGGTGAAGTTAACTTAATTATTTCTTATATTATTAAACTCACCAATTCAAATAACTCAAAACACCAACTGTTTAAGCTTCTAAGGGAATCATCAGGAATAATTTAAGTATCTTTTGATTTTCTTGATATTTGATTAAAACTACAAAAGAGTGTGGTAAAAACTGCCCAAATATGGTGAAATGTACTGAATTTATTGCTAAATGGGAACACCAAAAGCAAGGTAAATTTTACCGAAGCGCTTTGGTGATAATTTTAGAAAAATTAATAATGAAAGAATGTTTCATATTCTGTGTTAAAATTTGGTAAATGAGGTACAATTCGTTAATGTTATCGTGATATCTTAGAGTATGACATAAAAGCTATTTATTCGATAGAATTTACTGTTCAGAAAAAAGTTTTTCTTAGTATGTATGGTAATAAGAACTATAATTTTGAAAATCAGAATTACCGGTCAACCGTTACCATGTGAACAGAAATTACTAAATAAATGGTTTAAATATCGTATATTTTGGTTTTATTACCGAAATTAAAGTTTATTTTTTACTTTATTTTTTTATCATCAATGTCTGTATCATAACATAGTAATTTTATTTATTTTTTTCTGTTTAGAAATCGAAACTCATAGATTTGAAAACAAAATGTACCAGATAAAAAAGAAAAAAAATAGATTCTCTTTATTCTTTAAATAAAATAAAAAATTATTATTATTATTTTTTTCGTATTTTGTTGAATACATCAACTTTGCTATAATCACGCCTGATTTTACTCTTTGAAGTTGCGGATAAAATTAGTAGTTTTGAGAATAATAAGCTGCAATTAAAGTTTTTTTATATATACCATGTCCTATCTAGCCTATTATGTTTAATACTTTAAGCCTGCTGCAACAACTCGGTCTGTAACTATAAAGATCTTAAAAGCTCTGATGCACTGTAAAAAAAACTCCGGTACTTGCACTCGGGAGGCAAGTACTTTTCACCGTAAAATTCACATAAAATTTTAATGTAAATTTTCACGGTGAAAAAAAATCTGAAAAATTAAAGCATGTTAAACAAAATTTTTTAAAACCATTTTGTTAGTTTTGATATTTTAAATAATGTGTCATAAATAAGAATTCCAAGATTTTAATTTCTTTCCTTCTTTCTTCTTCTTTTTTCTTTTTGGTATTTCAAAATCATAATTTTCATACTCTCTACAATGCTTCATAATATTAAGATTCCTGATAAATAAAAAAGAGAAATTTATTTAAGAGAAATTCCATACTTTTTGGAAGCTACAGCATATTCATTAAAAACTGTAAAAACTCATACTAAAAGATGATGAAGGTATTTTTTTTTTTTTTTTGCGTATTTTGTAATAATATATATTATTATGAAAGCAAACTCGTAAAAATTTTTAAAATTTGTTTCAACAACTAGCTTTTTCGGTTTTATTTATTACATTTTTCAAATTTATTATTTTCTTTACAAATTTGAATTTTAACTATAACTAACTATAAAATTAGAAAAGAATGAAAGTAAATTATTCCTACATGAAAAAAATGAAAACCATTTTCTTTTAATATATAATACAAAATACTTTATTAAAAATTAAAAAAAAAGTTTTAGAAAAGCCTCAAACTATGTGTTTTAAACAATAACACATTTTAATAAAATATGTTACAATTTGATAAAATTTTTATTTCTTATTTGAAAATTTCAGAAAGTATTATGCACTGCACTGCTAAATGCTAATCAATCCTCGCACCGCTAATAATGCTAATTATAAACCTTACTACACTTAAACAGCGATTCATAGAATGTTCATTAACTTTATACACTAACTCATCAGGATGTTTTTCTCAAAACAGGCACACTCTTATACTAACTCATAAGGATGTTCACTAAAACAACCACACTTTTTAATCTAACTCATAAGAATGTTTATTGAAATAGCCACACTTGTACATTAACTCATAAGGATGTTACTTGAAACAGCCACACTTTTACATAAATTGTTCCTTAATGTTTCTACACTAATACACTTGCTCATAAAGATATTCAAAAATCTTGCTGCCCTTATATCGTAATCCATAAGGATGCTGATTTAAACTTCTACATTTATAAGTACCATACGCGTAATACCTTTAAGAGTGCGAAAAAGTATTACGCTTATGGTACTTATAAATGCATGCGTAAAACGAAGAGAGCTAAAAAGTTCAAATGGATACTTTAACATCTTTAGAATACAGATTTAAAACGAGAGTTTAAAAGTCAAATAGGTTTTTTAAAAATATTATCAGTAATTATTTTTTATTGAATCAAATTAATTTCATTAAGTACTTTCATTTGCTTTTATATTACTATTTTATTAAGCAAAATTCGTCCATTAAATTGGATAAGTTTTGTTTAAAATAGCAACACTTTAGTATAGTTTTTGATAGATTTTCAGCTTCTATTCTTGAAAATAGTTTGGTATACACATCATAAAATGTTTTCAAGTAATTAAGAAATATTTCTCCCACATCAAAAGAACATAACGTATGAATAATATCTTAAATGAAATTCTACGTATATTTCTTATAGTACATACTTAATTTACGTGTACCATAATGTGTTTATTGAGAAAAAACTATTATATTTAAAGTATAAAAGATAAAACTTTTTTTTATTTAAATAAAGCTATACATTAGTTTGGATTGAAGACAACTTATCAATTATATTGAAAAGATTTATCTTCAATTCTATCACAGTGGCAACGAGATGCCACTTTATTTTGGCAATAACTTCTGAAGTGATTGAGCACTTTCATTTTAAAATTTGAAACAATAGTGTAACATAAGGAAGAGTACTTTAACGCATTTATATTAGCATCATAAAAAATATTAAAATTAGAAAAATAAGACGTTTTTTCCCCAAAATGTGAAAGAGTACGTAAAACCCTTCACTCAAAATGGTACTAAATTTATAAAATATTAGCTGCAATATTTAGTTAGAATTCTGATTCCGTTTGAAAGGAAGGGGAAAAAAATTGTTTTTGAGATTTTGGAAAACTGATGAATTAAAAAGAGCTACTTTTTTATGCTGTTTGATCTATTTTAACTTACTAACTGGAAAGTTAACATTCAAGAATGTAGCTGTTTTCGCAATTATTTATTACAAAAGAAAAAGAAATTAATGTTGGTTAAAATTTAAATTTGTAGAAATACACTTTTTTTTTTAAAAAAAAAATTTAAATTATATAAATTTTTTTAAGAGACTTTACTTTAAGAGATAACATTAACGATTAACATTATATGTCAGTTTTTATTTAACGATGAAAATAAAATAATCAATATTGAATTAAACAGAAACAAAAACTATGTAGAGACAAATAATAAAATTGTCTTATTGTGATAACAATGTCTTTAATTATTTACTGAAAGTTGAAGTTGAACTTATAATAACTCAATACATTCTTTTATTACTGTAAAAAAATTTTTAGTTTTTTTTATTTATTTCTTTTTCTTTTTATTTATTTATTTTTTTTTCTTTTATCATTGTCCTCAATGCTTTCTCTTATCATAATATTTTTTTAAAGAAAATGTATCATTTTATTTAAATGCATGTGGCTTTTTTTCTCTTTATCGACCTTAAAAAATGTCAATTAAGCTGAGTATTACGCAAAATAATATGCATATTCATTAATACTATGCAATATATAACGAACAAAATACTAAATAACTGAATTTAAAACAGGAAAGCATCTTTTCGTATCAAAAACTCAACCAAATCAAACTGAGCTTCGGCAACAAAATTACTCTTCATGTAATGATTTTATTGTATATCCGTCAAATGTGCAAAGCATAATTTAATTTTTATTTTTAAAGCTTTGATTATTCGAGAATATTTAAATATTATGCAAGTCAAATAATTATATAAACAGTTACCATATTTTTTTAAAAAAAAATTAACTATCATTTAGAGTTAAATTTTTCCCATATCAAAAAAAGAAAAAAAATACAATTGTTAACATTAGATTATTTTATTAAGAGCAAAAGTAATCATTAAAGATTAGATATTTTCAAAATTACTTTTTATAAAATCTTAGGAAAGCTACAAATGAACCAAGACCTTCGGAAACAAGTCTATTTAAATTTTGAATACAAATTTTAATGAAACTAATATTTCGAATTCCTTATAGCGTTTAATAACTTTATGTGTTAATATGATCATACTTCTTGTGATAATTTTTTTTATTTTCAAAATTTATTATAAAGTAGCTGGAAAAATAATCAAATCAATATTCTTTGGGAAAAAATACAATTCCTTATAATAGTATTTGAGAATTTAGTTTACTGAAAGAACCATAACTCTCATTTTAAAAAATTATTTTTCTCCTTCATTTTACAGTAACAAAACAAAAAATAATAAAATAAAACAATGAAATTGAGCAAAAAATTTAATTTGAGTTCATATAAGAAATTTTCTATGTTAAAGTATACGCAATTCTCACAGCAAAACTTTTTAAAGCGATTGTTTTAGAATCGCGGAAACCAAAAGGATAATAAAAAAAAATCATTTGAAGGAAAATACAATTTTGAATAGTAAACATAGTGCTTCGTAAATTTATTTGTCACAACAATCCTCTCGCTTTATTTTTTTTTCGCTGTTAATTTATTTTTGTGTAAAATAAACAAAAAGACAAAAATCGGTGACAAATAAAATCGAATTTATTCGGAGAAAAATACATACATAATTGCTATACATTATTCCTAGTGATATAAATTCACTATCAAAACTACTATTTCAGAAATGCTTCACGTTATTGACTTTTCTATTCTTTTTTTTAGCTAAAAGATAAAATTTCACTTATTTTTTGATAAAAGAAAGCTTATATTAATTAACTTTGACATCGTTTTCCGAAACTTAACAGCTCAGTCGTTCAATGCTCTAATTAACCTTAGAATAAAAACACGAACTTTCAGTCTTACTATCAATATTTTACTGATTTTTGAAAAAAAGGTGTCCTACAAAACT